ACTATTAAGTCTTAATGGTTCATTAAATCAATACCAATGTTCACAATTGACCCTCATCAGCAAGGTGTCAAGAACAATTATATTTCCTGGTTTAGAGGGAAAAAAAGATTTATTCAAAAAGAAAGGAAGGCAGGTATCTCTAGAATACAACTACAAAGCCGTTACATCTAAATAATATATATGAACCAGTGGTGGTATTCAGCCGGTTCGCACTGGATCGGGTGAACTGGTAGCAAGAATTTGGCGTGGGTCGCTGAAACAGTAGTAAGTTCTGGCTGGCCACGCCTCCCACCTGGTCGCCCTCCCACCCGATGCTCACACACACCACCCGCCTGCCTGACATTCACCTAAGGTATTTCCCAGCAATTTCCTGAAACAAGTTTACAATAAAACCACAGAAAAAGGGGACGTAATGAATCAGTTGAGAAAAATCCATAAAATGGTGAGTTTTTGTGTATGTTAAGAAACAGAGTAGTCAGAAAATAGATGACCAAAAAATGAGCAGAGCTTAATTTTGTCAAGTTATAAATACTGAAATGTTTTCTCTGTGTTATATAAATTCTTAATTCATACTGTATATTAACAGGAAAAACTTGTATAATTGTGAACAATCTGTCTAATATTTTTCAAATCTGTTATTGATAATTTCCTTTGGACAGCAATGAAACTCTACCTAATTGAAAGCTGGTTAACATATTACAACAATATCCCATCATTTCCCATCATTTGCAAAACAAGCCCAAATAATTTTAAATGACAAAACTACTAATTCTATTTACAATTTTTTAATCTGTCATCTATATACTATATTAATAACAAAATAGTTACAAGAAGAACAGCAGTGGTGGGATTCAATTTTTTTTACTAATGGTTCTGTGGGCATGGCTTGGTGGGCATGACAGGGGAAGGATACTGTAAAATCTCCAGTCAGAGGTGGAATTTTCCGGTTCTCTGAACTACTCAAAATTTCTGCTACTGGTTCTCCAGAACTGGTCAGAACCTGCTGAATACCACCTCTGAAGAAAAACCCTCCCTTTAACAAACTGTTATTATAATGAACTTGTAGAAATTTTATCTCACACACACACACATATATTGCAATCAGATTCATCAGATTCCTGATTGCAATATACACTCGTTCCTGTCCACAATCTGATGTTTGTGCTACCAAAGTTGGTTCTTTGGCAGTCTTGCTTCCTGGATTTGAATGGGGGCACTCAGGAATGACCCAAGATGACTTTTGGTTGGCTGGATGACTTTTGGATGGCTGTGGAGGAGGAATCTTGAAGATTGCAAATTCCTGTGAGAGCAGCTGAAAAGTAATTTTCCCACTTTTTCCTATCAGCAGATTGTTCTCATAAGCAAATCTTGATTTTAACATCACTTTTAAAGCTTTTGTTTTGCTTTGTTTTTTTTTTTATCTTTAAAAATTAACTGACTGGCTGGATGCTATTTTATTTCATCTCCCTGCTAGCTTTTATCTGCTTCTTTTGATTTTTTCCTTTCATATCTTTGGCTGTTTTCATTAACTTCTGCTTTTCCGTAAAAGGAATGGGACTGATTATTAGAAAATTCCAAAAAGTATTCCTTCCTCGGGCTCCTTGGGCTGTTCTTGGCATTTAAACCTCCTTTTTTAAAACTTCTGCATGGAGACATACTGGTGGAAGGAAATGTTTTTTTTAAAAAAAAAAAAAAATCTGAAGTACTACTGCATTTTGGCATACTTTGATTGGAACAAAAGGGCTAGACAAGTTTCAATCTACATTTGCCTTTTGTGTGATATGATATTCTCTTTTATTCGAAGTCCTCCATGATTAGAGTTTCTTCAAATTATTTGCCAAGCTTCCTTTTTTGGTACTAATACAGTGGTTGGATTCAAATTTCTTTACTACCAGTTCTGTGGGCGTGACTTGGTGGGCGTGGCAGGGGAAGGATACTATAAAATCTCCAGTGCTGGTTCTCCAAACTACTCAAAATTTCCACTACTGGTTCTCCAGAACTGGTCAGAACCTGCTGAATACCACCTCTGTACCAATAGTCATCCCCCATTCATTTGTTTAGCCATATATTAGTCACTGCCACTGCCACTTAATTAGTCGCAGTGATTTTGGCTCCAAATTGGATGACATTTCAGAAGGCCAAGATAATCCTTTCTCAGTATACCATTTTCTTTAGGCTATTCTTCACTGGTTTAGAAACAGAATCCATGGTCTTTATGGAGTGTTATCTCATTTTTTTTCATATAAATACTTGGAAGTTCCCTGACAGATGACATCTTTGGAGAAATAATCAGCATTGCTATAGAAGTACAGTATTAGCTATTAGTAACTAGGTTATCTTACTTGGAAGGGAATAATTTTTCAGATTTAGCTCTTTAGCTCAAGGAAGATTTTATAGGATGTGGCTGCATTCCTCACTTGTCAAAGAATTTCTAAAACAACTGGTCTTGCCAAATTGGCTTAGCCTGAATTAAGTCGGGAATTAAAGAAATCAAAGTCAGCATCTTTTCTGGTTTTGCTTATATGATGGAGAACTGAAGCCCTCTGCACATGAAGCTAACCAAGAATTTCTGGGTGGAATGATTATGACTACACAAATTCATACGTAGAATGCACAGAAGCCAGAAGAATATTGTTTGATGTGGCAGATTTTGTCCAAATAGCAGGAGAAACATCTCTGAAACATCTATATCACAAGTTTGAGAACTGAGGAATAATAAAACACAAAGAACTGGTAGCCAGAACAAGTAAACAAGAAATTAATAGAATTTATTATGCATTATAGAGTAATTATTCTTGTTAATTATAACACTCATTGTACGTTTATATAGATAATTAGTTAATTACATAAAACAGATGGATAGCAAAATGCTCCCAGATGGTGAGACAATAAAACAAGTTGACAACCTACTGCTTATAATTATAAAAATAATTATGGCTCTTAAGCTAATTATACATACTGGTTGAACTTCATTTTGCCATATTGTCTATATATACATAACCACCCACCACACAGACATGTAGTTACACACACATATCTCAAAAGGCAGATTCCTGGAAAAAGTAGAAATTTTCTCAGTAGAAATTGTTCCTTAACAAGAACGTTTACCAAGTTTCATTATATCTTACTGAAGGATTGAGTTATATCCCTATCTCCAAAGAATATATCTTCCTTGAGAATTCTCCAATCCACATAATATTTTCTCAAAATTTTCTGTCTGAAAACTTTTTCTTGGACTAATAAAGGAAGAATCTTTCACTAATTCATTACTTAACTCATTGCACTAAATAAAGTACTCTTTCAAATACTGGAAATTCCTATAGGGAATAAGTATCAATTCTTCATTCTTGGAGTAAAAATCATGCTCTTCCATTTGACCATTCGTTATATTACAAATTTCCAAACATGCATTGCTAGTTCAGAAAAATGAACAGAAAGTAAGTGTCACATTATGTAATAAAGCCAATTATATAGACAGGTTGGAGGTGTACATGAAATTAAGAAAATGTTTTGCTTTGAACTCTGTAACAGACTATTGCATTCTGGAAGAATAGCCACACTGTTTTGAGTTAGCCACTGCAGGACAAACCAAAACCCAGAACATTTTGGTCTTTCCAGTTTTGGAATACGTAAGTATGGAAATGCTGATGCCTGTAACCTCTTCTCTTTCTCCTGCAGCTCCCAGCATGACTTGTCCTACTGTTTCACCTACCCATTCCCTATTTTATCAGTGACTTCCTTTCCCTCCTTCCCCTCAGCTGCCACACCTGATATCCCCACATGATATATCACACTGGCTTACCTATTCTCTGACTTCCTACTGTCTCTGCTTGTTGTTGTTTTTATACTAAGCAAGTAAATTTATAAAATTTATATAAAATAATAATTATTTAAATTTATAAAACAAATCTGAATGACTAAACCAGTCTCTAGATCCATTAATATTCAGCTTTGCGAATCTCAAATTTTCAAAATTTGTGTACATTGTTTTAAATCAGAGAGCTGCAGAAGTTAAAATCATAAAAATAAAAACAATGGATAATTGCAATCTAGTTCACATATTGCTATTGTTTAATTTTTGTTTTCATAATTCAGCTTGTTTTACTACTACCAAAACTGAGTTGAAGTATATACAAATATTGCATTATGTTGCTTAAAATAAATATCCATTTTAATCCTACCTCCCTCAAAATTAAAAATACACTTGTATAGTAAAAAAAGCTTCTATGTTGGCTGTTATCCTTAAATATACAAGAGGCAACTCTAAGAGCAAAAAATCACTAATATCCAGCAACCGTGTAAAGAGATCCCAGTTAGTTCGCATCATGAAAAGCAACAGATGGCACACTTATATGCATTCCACATTTTCATCCTCAAAGCACATAGACCCATATACCACCTGGCAAGATGAATAAGGAATTAGAGAATGTTAGGGAGGAAAGGCTACCAGTAATGATTAGTCACAATGCCTAAATGGAACCTGAGGAGCAGTATGTCACTGAATACTGGTTGCTGAGACAGGACTGTGAATTTTCCAGGCACATTTGGCTGGTCACAGCGGGAAATGGGAAACTGGGTTATACAAACCTGTGTTATGATTCAATTGGGCTTTTTACAATGCAGAACTTCCAAATGCAGATAATCTATTTGATGTGATAATGGGGGAGAACGGGATAGCAAGTGCAGGACTGGGATTTATCTTCCTGGAAGGATGCAAAGGGCCTGATTAAAGTTCCATAATGCAACTTTGCTTATTTTAATATAACAAAATTATTCTCGATCAAATTTTAATAATAGAAAATCTGCAGCCTGTAGTTGTATTTTTTAATGGAATATATAGAAAATGATACAGCTGACTGTGAACTGTAAGGGCATGAACATGAGGTTCAAGGTAATTAAGAAGCAGCCAGCAGCATTAAGGCAGTAATGTCATCCCATCTGCCAAATTCTACATTTAGCTGGAGCTATGCCTTTTGCTTGCTTCTGCTTTAGTTACCCACCTGATCCTTAGAGACTTGTTTTGATGGAGCATTTATGCCAAGCTTTTCCAGAGGATAGACAATCTGTCGTCTTGGTCGCACGGGAACCATGTAATGTAGGGCAGATGTCAGGGAATGGGCACAGGGATTCTGGTACTGAAGGACAACAAGCTATATTTTAGCACACAGAATGTCAGAAGAGTGCATCACAGATGTCTCTGCTTTGTGAATATAATAATCCTTTATCCCTTTGATTAAAACCTGGAATAGTACCTCCCCCTCCCTCAAAAATAAAATAAACACTCATATAGTAGAGGAATCGGTTGCAGTTAATTCCCTATCCTAATGAAGATAATTATGAGAGTAAATTATATTACTATCTCACTGGGAATGACAGATAAACAAAGTGGTTTGGTTTATGGGATTTCGCAGCACAAGAAGCCCCCCTCAGAGGAATATTTTTCTTTACAGCAATCACGAATCTTCTGCATCCAACCTTATTAAGCAATGATACATGCATGCTTTTAACCTTTGCTTATTTTACAAAACAGATAAATGATGCTTTCATTAAAATGGTAAATTACAAATGCTAATGAAATAGTATTAATACTAAGAAATATTCTTATGCTTACATAAGTACAAAATAGGAGTGATTGTATTACAGTGAATTCACTTTACAGACTTTATATAAACCATAGGAAAGATGTAATAATTAAAACTGCAATAATGTCAATAAAAGATCTAGAGTATTTCCAAAGTCTTTCTGCGCATTCACTAAAGCATTTTTTGTTTTAACTTTTCAACCTGCTCCTAAGGTTTGGGGAATCATACCGTCAAAATTTAAAGCAACACAACTTTGAAATTTCAGCTCAAGGTAAAGAAATACAAACAACCTGTATGCCCGATCCAGGCATGATATAATATCCATTATGTTAGTTGTTTGTTTGCCACTCATCTTACAGCAAATGACACTGAGAATTTATTATAATTGGCAGAAGAGTCCTCCTATCTCCACTTCAAATCTGCTGTGCTGGCTGATCAGAAATGGAAGTTGTCCACTATTTATTCTCAGCTCCTTAATGTAGATCTTCAGAAATTGTCAAAATTGTGTTTAATTGTTATTGCCTTATAGAATCCCTGGACTTAACTCTCATGTTTATGAAGGCTGTTTGGTTATCTCTGTTTCAGATTAGAGTTAGATGTTTATTGTGTACTGTCTTTATCTTAAATTAATAATAAGTCTATTTGAGCTATCACGAGCTTCTTTAGATCCTAACTATTTAGATTCCTAGATATTTAGATACTGGCTATTTTCCTTGTAAGAAATGACACTTAACAGCACAGTCTTGAATATGTTTTGAAGTAAATTCCAGGAGATTTCTTTGTAAGTACTGAACAACTTTTTAAAAATATTTCTCAATATTTTTATACTAACAACAAAAAAGGTAATAAATACAAATGGAGGGAGTACATTTTAATGAATCTCTCTCCCTCAGATCAAATATTAATTCTTATATGTGTTTTAAGAATGTTACAATGCCTATGTAGCAGCTTTGTATGTTTATTTTGTAGCAAATGTCTTGCAGTTTTTATTTTATCATAATTGATTAAAAGTCATTATTCTTTCTTTTATCCATTTCACAAATTACTATATAGTTCATACTAGAAGTGCACATATTATATTTTTGTGCACCAACCCAACAAAATGAAGACACAATTTAAAAAATAAAATTAATTTTTAAAAAGGTTGCATCTTACCTTGCCTTCTACAGGTTGGGGATAAATAGGATAATAGAGGCAAGATTTGTAGGCTAACCGAAGTATCTCCTTCATAAAATGTTTGGCATAATGGTGAAAAATTGGATTGAGAGAAAAATGGTAAAGGTGGCCATGTTCTTCCTGCTGGTAATGACTGAAATAGATAAAATCTTCAATGTTGTAATGTGAGCGAATATATTCAATGTCCTGGAAAACAATTCAGGAAGTGATTAAGGAGGAGTTCTGCATCTTTGCATCAATACTATATCCTTTTGTCTGCATAAAGATATGCCACTATTAAGAAAAAGATTCATTTAGAAATCGTTTCTTGTGTTCTTTTCTCCTCAGATTTCTCCTTGCAGTGAGAAGGAAACTAGGATCCAGACCATGTAAACAAATATATATTCTTCTCCAGCATTATCTGCAAGATGTATATGTGTGTGTATGACAACAGGAAGCTGATGGATGGAATGTCACAGTGCAAACTTCACTTCTTTTGTAAATGCTTTTTGTGGATTTTAGTTCTGCGTTTAACACAATTCTTCCACATAGATTAGTGTCTAATTTCTGGACCTTGGACTTTCTAATTCAATCTGCCTTTGGATTATGGATTTCCTGTCTGGCCACTCACAGAGGGTCAGATTAGATAATCATACCTCTTCAGCCCTTATTCTTAACACTGGTACACCACAGGGTTGCGTGTTGAGTCCCTTACTCTATACTCTTTATGTGCATGACTGCATTCCCACTCACGCTAGTAATACTATTGCTAAATTTGCAGATGATACAACAGTGGTGGGACTCATCTCCGGGGGGATGAGTCTGCCTACCGAGATGAGGTGGACCGGTTGCTTTCATGGTGTGGAGACAATAACTTGGTCCTCAACACCAATAAGACCAAGGAGCTTATAGTGGATTATAGAAGGAACAGATCAGACATCCAGCCCTTGCTTATCAATGGAGACCGAGTGGAGCAAGTGGCCAGTTTTAAGTTTCTGAGTGTTACCCTAAAAGAGGACCTGACCTGGGGTGCCCACATTGCAGCCCTGGTCAAAAGGGTCCAGCAGAGATTATACTACATGAGACTTCTCAGAAAACAACAACTGAATGAAAAACTGCTGGTGACTTTCTACCGCTGCACCATAGAGAGCATTTTAACATACTGCACTTCTGTATGGTTTGCCAATTGCACAGTGGCAGATAGGAAAGCACTCCAGAAGGTTAACATCATTACCCAGAGGATCATTGGTTGCCCTCTCCCCTCTTTGGAAGAGCTTTATAGCTCCCACTGCCTTAAGAAAGTTCAAAACATTCTCAAAGATCCATCTCATCCTGGGAACCCTTTTTTTGAACTATTACCATCTGTCAGACGGTACAGAATAGTAAAAACAAGGACAAATAGATTGAAAAACAGCTTCTATCCCAGGGCAGTAGCTCTTTTGAATTCTGCTGTATAGTGCAGTGTTGGTGCGGTGTCGGAGGTTTTCGGTTCAATGTGTGGAGGGTGAAGGATGTGTGTTTGTGTTTATTTTCATGGTCATGGTCATGATGTGCCCTGAAGATGGTGTTTGATTTCATTGTATGAGGTGCAGTGACAATAAAGTAAACTAAACTAAACTAAATGTGCTGAGGTTGCACAGATGTTTAAAAGGAATGGGATTTTCCAATCTATAAAAATAATTACAAATATGAATACATACCATTTCATTTCTAATAACAGATATTCCAATGATTTGATTCAAAATCTCTGCTACAAATGCCTGGACTGGTGTCCCATCCTGAAAAAAACAAGCAAGTTGGTACCAATTTTTTTCCCTTTACTAATTCAGAAAACATTGATTGACTGATTGCATTTCTATCCAGTTTTTCTTTCAGGAACCCAAGGTGGCATACACACACACCCCTTCTATTTTCCCCATCCTATAAAGTGGGGTGGCTCTGGTAATAAACATTGCTTTAGTCCATAAGATTTACTGTACATCTCAGTCTTCAGACTTCTTGTCTACTGGAGAGTTCCTACCTGATGATAAATCTTGTACTAGTGGCAATGCAATTTAGAGATTGTGCTGATGTACTATACGCTATCCACAAGAGACAGGGATGATCTCTGACTCAGTGTTGAAGAGTTTCAATCTGGTGGTCCTTAAAGAATTTAATATGCCTGCTTGGGCAGTTCAATATGGTGTATGCCAATCAGGGGTGGGATTCTACCAGTTCTCACCTATTCACTAGAACCGGTTGTGAACATTTTAAGCAGTTCTGAGAACCGGTTGTTAGGAGAAATTACTGGCCTAATCCTTTAAGGAAGGCAGGAAGGAAATATTCTGGTGTTGCTTACAGAAATTGCCTCTCCGTTAACCCTTATTACATTCTTGGCAGGACTAGACTTCCTGTCTCAGGAACGTCTTTGGAGTTTTTTCCCCTCCTTTGCTGGTACTTTGCTTGTGTGGAGTGACCATTCAAAGTTACAATGGCACTGAAAAAAGTGACTTATGACCCTTTTTCACACTTACAACTGTTGCAGCATCCCCACAGTCATGAGAGGCCATGCGAGGAGATGCGTGCATCGATGTGAGTGATGTTGAGTTGGCCACGCCCAACCAGTAACATGACCACCAAGCCATGTCCACCTAGGCCACCTAGGCCACCTAGGCCACCCCAACCAAGCCACGCCCACAGAACCGGTTGTTAAAAAATTTGAATCCCACCCGATGCCAATTATAGGTTCTCCCAGTATATCATTGCCTAAACAAGACAGAAAGATGATAATATGAAAATGGAAATATATTATCTATCCTGTTATCATGTTCAGATTACTACCTGCTGAGGTGAGGTTTAGTATTATGTAAGATGGATAAGTAATTAAAATGATCCATCCCTATAGACTAATATTTGTTTTCCAGAAAATTCCAGTGGATTTTTTCAATTTTCAAAAAGAGCTGATGCTCTTGTTGAAGTGCTAATCACACTGTAGTATATGGTGTTGACATAGGCCATTGACACGATTATACCCAAGTGCTCTTCCTTGCATATTATTTTTTTTTTCAAATAGTTTAGATGATGGTAACAAGTAGAGCACAGTGAATACAAACTCATGCTATTTTAACTAAATATAATTTAGTGCTCCTTAGTAAACGTATTCTGGAGTAGTCAGAATGACAAAAAAAGTGTTTTTTTTCCTCTCAACATCTTTCATCTTTACAATGTTCTCCAGCAGAGCTGCTACCTTCTGACTCTTAATAACAATTGATAATGTCCACTAGTTTGCTGTGATTTATCTGCTAGATCCTCTGAGAGTAAAGGCATTTGCATTCATTGTGATTTGCATCCCTGGGTTAATGTAGAAATTTCTAGAGCATCATGGTCTTTAGCTGTATCGAATAAGTTCCAATTGTTGAGTTTTGAAGATATGGACAGGATCCTTGAATAGTTTTGACCAGGAACTCGGATGCTCAATTCTTGTGCACTTCGCCTTGTTAGATTTAGTAAGGACAAAGTTGTCAGTTGAGTACAACAAACCATTCTTTCTTCCTTCAGAGAAACTATTACCACACTCTTTGAAAAAGAAAGAAAGCAACCCAAATCTGAACTTCTAAGTTATGACACAGATCTTCTTGAGTTCAATTTTAATACTCAGACTACTTAGTACCTGTAGTGGAAGAACAACTAAAAATATCACCTGGTTGACATCAATATGAGGATGACACCCAGCTTTACTAATATTTTTCATTTAAACCATACTGCTTGGCATTGATTGTATAATGACTAATAATTAATCTCATTCCACACAAGATATAGACACTGTTCATTTGTAATCCATATGTGCATATGAATGTGTTCAGTTCTGGAGAGGGTTGTGTTACTCTGGAAGATTAGAAAATCAGTCTTGTGGATGCTTTTGGAACTACTATTGTAACTGGACACAGATAGCCTTGCTGCTCAGAAAGACCTTTATTTCTTCAGATTGATATACTAGCTGCAATCCTTTCTGTGATAGGATACACTGGCATCCACTATGAATGCTCTGGTAAGCTACAGAATAAACTAATGTGATATATTGTGGGAGCAGCTATTTTTGAAGGTAATTCAGTAGTTTCAGTTCGTAACTTGCAATTCTAGTTTCGATTATCTGGGCCTAGGTAATATAATCATATCATGCCAGTAATCCATCAGCAACATGCTGATTGCCAATCTATTTCCAGGCCCAATTCAAGATTTTCATACTGGCCTGGATGCAGACAATCTAAATAACTTTTCCCTGCTTATATGTCTGCTTGGGTCCTTCAATCAATTTTAGAGATGAAATGAAATGAAGCCGGCAGCTGCAAATAAAAGGGCTCTCTCAGATATGGGATCCTCCTGCTTGTGGAATTTCTCTCCAGACAGGCAGATTTCCAAGTACATTAATGTATTTTTAATGCAGGCATTGACGTTCTTGTTCTCCAAGGCGTCTTATTGATTTTTATTCAATCAGATTTATTAATTACATATCATAATGTTTCTTTCTTTTTTAAAGAAAGTGTAAACTACTCTATAATCTACCCAGAGCATTTCTATTATTGAGTGAATTACAAATGATTACAATAAAATCCATTCACTATTACCTTCCTCTCCCCCCCCACTCCCCCAGTATTATTATATAGCACTTACTGGATCTCTTCGTGCTGATAAGTAGTTATTTAAGTCATCCAATATAGCTACGTTCAATTCCAGGGTTTGGATTAGTCTTTTAATGGCAAAGACATCAGTAGATTTTGCTGCTCTTACATGAAACGACCTGTTGAAAACAAAACTAATTCCAACAATGATATCTACTAATGTCTAATTTTTCAGATCCCAGATTTGAATAGGTAATCATGATATATAATCAGGGGTGGGATAATACCAGTTCGCACCTATTTGCTAGAACCGGTTGTTAACATTCTAAGCAGTTCTGAGAACCGGTTGTTAGAAGAAACTACTGGCCTAATCCTTTAAGGAAGGCAGGAAGGAAACATTCTGGTGTTGCTTACAGAAACTGCCTCTCTGTTAACCCTTATTACATTCTTGGCAGGACTAGACTTCCTGTCTCAGGAACGTCTCTGGAGTTTTTTTTCCCCTCCTTTGCTGATACTTTGCTTGTGTGGAGTGACCATTCAAAGTTACAATGGCACTGAAAAAAATGACTTATGACCATTTTTCACACTTACGAATGTTGTAGCATCCCCAAAGTCATGAGAGGCCAGGTGAGGAGATGCGTGCCTCAATGTGAGTGATAATGAGTTGGCCACACCCAGCCAATAACATGACCACCAAGCCATATCCACCTGGTCACATGTCCACCAAGCCACGCCCACCAACTAAGCCATGTCCACAGAACCGGTTGTTAAAAAATTTGAATCCCACCCCTGTATATAATGAATATGGTAATGATTGTCTCAAAAGAAAAAAAGGAAATGTGATTTATTTATTTATTTGACTTATGTGCTGCCCATCTTATCCAGAGGCAACTCTGGGTGATTTTACAAACATTAAAAATGATAAAACAATAAATGACAACAATAAAATAACTACAGTTAAAAGATGGGAAGGAGAGGAACACAAATTATGATACAGGGTTTTCATATCAAAGTTAGTTTGAGAGCCCATTACTGTGTTTGTTCACAGGGAAATTAAACATATTAAATCTCAGTGCATATTAACAGTATACATTTTCATCAGCCCAGTGGTGGGATTCAAACTTTTTACTACCGGTTCTGTGGGCGTGGCTTGGTGGGCGTGGCAGGGGAAGGATACTGTAAAATCTCCAGTCAGAGGTGGTATTTTCCGGTTCTTCGAACTACTCAAAATTTCCGCTACCATTTCTCCAGAACTGGTCAGAACCTGCTGAATACCACCTCTGCATCAGCCTAATATCTGTGCCTTTTCTTCATTCAATTTACAGCTGAATCCTTCCCATGAGAGATAGAAAACTCATGCCAGCTGACAATACAAAACTACTGATTTTTGAAAATTATTCAACCTGTTTTCATCTTGCTGCTGTTTTTCGGGACTATTTTCTTTCAGTATTCATAAAAAATGTTGCACAAAGAGCTAAAAGGAAAGGTTTGAAAAATGGGTATAAAAAAAAAGAAAACTTTTATTTAGCAAGCTTAGGTTGATACAAATTTTATAGTTCTATTTTTCTAGATGCCAAACAGTGCAGTTTGCTTCTATCTCTTGCAAATCTATATTAATAATATAAAAATAGCCTCTGCATATGTAATTAGTTACAATAAGCAAAATTGGTTAAATAACACTTGAAAATGTAGCACTTAAAAAAACAACAGACATTATGAAAATAACAAAATGGGAGAAAACTATCTTAGTCCGTACATGCTCATTTTCCTCACAGTAAAGAATTAACTCATTTTAGAAGCCTGAATCACTTGTCTGTCCAGATGTAAGGGCACCATTACTATTGTGCTTTACATTCAAAATTGAAGAGAAGTATCCATTAAGCATTTCAGGCTACACCTTGTCATATTATTATTTTCCAGCCCACCCTCTTAAGTAGCAAACCTGGTATTGCATTTGCCATCTTCTGAGTATTGTACAAGGCTTTTCCTTTTTTTAAAAATAACCTTTGCCAATCAGTTTCTCATTTGGAGATTTTCCCTTTATCTTGATGAGTTTCCGCCCCCCCCCCAGGCCCCCATGCTATTTCTAGGCAGTTTGCTTTTATCCATTTTCAGCAACTCACTTTCTATTCACATATCTTTTAAACCTTCACAGTGAAAACACATTGCATTGATCTTTACTTTTTATATATATCTTCATCAGGGAGGGATTATTAGCACTAGCTTTTTATACTCAGATTTTTCCATTACTGCTCAGTTTTCTATGCGCATCCATATTTTCTTCAGAAATTATATTTTGATTTGAGAGACTTCAGATGAAAGCTGGTAGTCCAGTTTTTTCTCATTTCATGAGTTTTCTCTCATTTCTCATTCATACCAAATCTCATCGATAATACTTTCATATTGTTGGTTCATGTAAAGGAGCAATTGTTGAAACTGCTAAAATACTGTTTTACTGTTGGTTTAGATGTTTTAAGGCTTTGTGTTTTATGCTGATGTTTTAACATTTAATTTAACAATGTATTTGCTATTTAACATTTTGTTTGTTTGCTATTTTGTGAGCCATATTTGGAAAATGTATGTTTTGTGACATTTAAATAGGTATTCAAACCTATGTATAGGATGGAGCATATAATTGGGAAGATATACTCTTCAGATATACTCATATTCAAAATTTATTCCCAGTCCAGATATGCTTTTAGCCTGAGTATGCAAAATTGGTAATCCAATACACTTCATTCAATCTAACAATATTGTATGATGGTCCATTTGAGTTTAACAAATCTACATTTTAGTCCTTATATGGCATCGTCCATTGCCTTGTAAGGCTTTACTAGGCGATAATCAGCATTTTAGTTGCACCCAGGAGTGAACTGATAACTAGTGCAGTTCCTGAAGCAAGGATGACACTAAAGCACAATGTGGCCTATCTACTGTCTGTGTTGCTGTGTTTTGGACAAATGCTAAGTTCTGAGTAGTCTTCAGAGGCAGCCCCAAATACATTGCATTGCAGTAATCCATTAACAGGTGACAAGATCATGAGAATCTGTAGGAAATGGCACACCTTAATTTACAATCAAAACATTTTATCTGAAAATAGTTGTGAGAGCAAAATGTATTACTAACTTGAGCAATCCAGATCGGTGAAATACATATAGCTCCTGATCCAGTGTACAATTGCTAAAGGGAATAATCCTAACAAAACTCTGGATCAGGTGAAATTCAGGGACCATATGTGGCACTGTGATGATGCAGAAGTCTTTGTCCTAAAAAGTAGTAACAAAAAAAAAAAAGGAAATGCAAATACAAAATATAGGATTATAGAAAGTGAGAAGTCTTTTACCACTTCCCACTTTTCCCACTTCTTTACTAAACTTTCCTAGGGTTGGCGATTTCACAGCAGGGCCTTGGACAAACTGTAGGCAGTTGAAGCACATGCAGAGTAAGGAAGGACACTAAGGCTGCCATTCCCTTATAACAATCAATCTCTGAATCCAAGCCATGAAAGAATTAATTAAATAAAAGCCACCAGGGTCATCTTGAACTCCTAGCTGGGCGGCATATACATTTAATATATAAATAAATAAGCACCATGTAGTTCTGCCTCAGAAATTCATTTCTGTTGTGCTAAGAGGGCACTCTGCTAACTCATGCTGGTTATCAGGTGGCATTGAAGACCAATGAATAGATATCATATTTATAGCAAGAAATTGATATATTATTATTATTATTATTATTATTATTATTATTATTATTATTATTATTATTATTATTATTATTATTATTATTATTATTATTGCTATCATCCAAGGTCACCTAGGGTAGTTTGTTAAAGAAGAGGTAAATGTTGGTGCTCATTTTTAACAGAAATAAATAAAATCGTCCTGCTTATAGTTTAGCATTGTGCCACCAAATTATAATGTGATAAGGAGCAGGAACAATCAAGTCTGTGAAGATTCCATTGAAGACTTGTATTAAGTTTTATTATAATCCCTCTAAAATATTTACATTAATTCAAAAATTTGGTCAATTTTTCCTCAAAAACAGTGTTGCCCTGTGCAAACAAGTAGGATATTTAGCAAATAATATTCTAGTAATTAATTTGCAAGAAGGATTTTTAAAAATTACTTTATATACATTTAGTATGAAAAGTTTAAAACCAAAATGTCATACTTACTGGGAAAAGTTCAAAAACAAAATGTAAGAAATCCAGTGACCTGTAAATAACAGCCAAGTATTTTAACAGAAATATGGTATTTGCAGCACGCAAATGCACTTTAGCCATATCCCTCAACTAAAAACCAAATATACGCTGAAGGACAAACCAAAAAACTGATCAACAAAGTGCTTTAATGGATATTCCATTAAAGTCAGTAATAATAATCCTCTTGCCCTTCGCATTAGAGTCTCTTAATTATCACTTCGTTTTCTCTCTCCTTCCATTCAGTGCAAACAAATACTTCTCATCCACTTATTTGAGCTGACTTTTACTTCATCATTCTTTTCTATAGGTCCTTTCTGCATGCATTTAAGTAGAAAACACCTTTTATCTTATTGTTCTATTATGAGTGGTTTGAGGAAACTACTAGGACCCAATGCTTCTTTGTGGAAATAGGCTTAGGAATAACCAAATTCTATTGTTTTCCTGCTTAGTTTAACTTGCTGAATTTCATTCCCCAACGGAGAGGTTTGACTTGAGCAAACTCTCAACACAAGCACAACATAAGCAAAAGTCAAAATTAATAAGGGAAATGAAGGGAAAGTCCCAGAGACAAGGGAAGAAAATCAATTAAGAATGAAGTAACTACTATGGGAAAAATAAATGGAAAGCATTAAGAGGGAGAGAAATGAATGAGAAAGTAATGGGGATTAAGTTTTTATTTTCTCCAGCATGAATAAAAGTTGAATGTGTGTATTTCCACTGAAATCTATCAAACATCACAGACATCAGCAAGATAATTTTTGGATAATTGGCTGTTATTATTTTCTTATGAGAACAGATGAAATATGATGGCCGGTTTTGGAAAGTTTTGGTAAGATAAATCCTGATATGTTACTCATATGTTTGTATAGCCTTTTCTGCAAAAACAACCCATGGGTTTACAGTATGTTTCCAGGACATCTGTTGGTTTGCCTTTGAGAGGACATTGTAGAGAAAAAGGTACTGTTACAGAAGATATCTGAATATTTCAAAAGGAAAAATGCCACACTTGCATCTTGAGTGGTAGTTTAATGGGTAAAGTTGCTTTTAAATTAAAGTGGGCAAGGTTTTTCAAGCTACGTATTGCAGTTGATTGTAGAGAAGCAGGTAAGGGAGTGCCCTCTCAAAAGTAGATGAGGCCAAAAGAATAATTGTTCATGACTCAATTAAAAGCAAAATTAGATTGAATTAATTAAAATTAAAATTAAAAAATTAAATTAAATTAAATTGCAAATGAAGTATAGTTAGCACACTTTTAGATGATGATCCCTAATTGATGGGACCTAGAACATGTCCCTTTTACCTAATCTAATGAGATAGTAGACACCCTGGCCCTAAATCATGAATGGCTTTTTAGATTATAATTATCACTTTCAGCTGTACCAGGAGCAAATTTGGAGCCAGTGCAGTTTATGGAGCAGATGTATAACAAAAAAGCCCCCCATAATTGCCCAGACCATTGCATTCTGGAACAACTGATGTTCTTTAACAACAGTCATATGTAGAGTGCCTTGCATTAAGGAGGTGACCAAAGAATGAGTTACTATAGACTGTGCCACCTAATCCAGGAACAGGCATAAGAGGTGCATAACATTAATTTGTGCAAAGGTTCCCCAGGTCATGGCTGCTATTCAAACAAGAACTGTGCATTGAAGAGGACACCGAAATTGTATATCAATTTTGTCTTGAGTAGTGCAGCCCCATCCAGAACTAAGGATGGGAAATCAGCAGAAGCAGGAGGCCCTGATACCCAAAGCGTAGTGTCTTGCTAGAGTGGATTTAAAGCCTTTTCATCCTATGCAGTCCCTGTGCATCCCTATTAAGACTTCTATGGTCTCTAGACACTAAAACCCAATCTCTTCAATGTCACTTGGCTGTCTGGGGGCAGAGACATACAGCTGAATGTTATAGTACATTGCTATTACCTCATCCCATGCCTCTGAATGACCTCACCCACAGTTTTCTTGTAGATGGTAATGGAGAGTGAGTCAAGCCCTGAGGCACCTCATATGAAAGGCCATGGGCAGACTTCTCCTCACATCCATCAGCCTTTTGAGGTAGATCAAATTAGAAAGCCAAAGTTATGAATGCATCTACTACTTTCATCATATGATTAAAATAACAGAATCTTGCATATCTGAATTTGCATCTCCTCTCCCTCTCTTTATCTTTGTGAGAACAAAGAAGGGTCAAGTTTCTTACTTTCTCAAACTATATTTTTGTTCTGGATTCAAATTTATTTTATCTGACTGTTGTATTGGTTGTGGTTCTTCCTGTTCCTCAAGGTTATTCCCATATCCCCTTACATCATCACACTGACTGGAACTGATCCTAGAAGTAGAAGGAAAACCAGCATAATACTATGTCCCAACTATGGCCAGCTAGTCAAAAGGGTATCATGGTTAATGGTATCAATGTCATCCTGTAAATGCCACAAATGAAGTAATTCATTCAGATGCTAGACACACATTCTGTACATCATAGTGACATTTGTTTGATGATGTCTCTGTGCATATATCATTATTTTGTTGACATTAGTTTGCTCCACATTCCTGAATGGGGGACTAGGAACTACAGGCAGGTAAGTTGTCCCAACTCTTTCTTTCAGAATAAAAATGTCAATTAATTGCTAGGATTATAGTAATAGTAGCACAGAAAGAAAGACCAACTCCCTTTCCTGCAATGTTCTACCATTGCTATCCCAATTCAATGTTCCTATATAACTAAATGACTGGTACTACTTTTATCAGAAAGGTAATATTTATTTTCAAGTTCCACTAATGTACTTACATTAAAATTTATCTGCAGTGAACTGTCCTACTTATTTTCTACTTACCTATAAAATATAAATAACTTGACGTTATAAAAGCTTGATAGGCAAGATATATCTATTTCAAGTAAATAGAATACTACATAGCTCAATAATATAAAAGATGGCTCATTATTGCCCTTAAATTGCTTTAATATTACCAATATGTATCTAATATGTACTTGCCTTGTTTCATGTTGCTCATCAATACAAAAGAGCTGAATACAAAATGCATTTACTTCTCCTTTATATAGAGGATGGAAAGGTTGCATTTCAAAACTAGTACTAGGTGATGTTTCAGTTGCTTTCAGCTCCTTACTTCTGTCGCTTTCTAATGGCAGTTCTAATGAAACCTGAGCAAGTATTCCCTCTTTCTGTAATAAGAAGCAATAAAAAAGAGAGGCTTGGTTTCATTTATAGTAGAGTATCACAATATTATTCACAAAGACTTTGAGACTTCATCTTGAAAAGTAGAGTACAGATATAAAACCAGTAATATGCATCATCCTATATCTATATACTATGTATGTGTATATACATACACATACATGCACACAAAAACACTCACTAAATATAAACTAAAATGAAATAAAATACATATTAAAGGAGGATGAGTTTGATGTAGTGGTTAAGGCAGCAGGCTAGAAACCAAAAGTCTGTGACTCCTAGTCCCATCTTAGCCACGAAAGGCAACTGGGTGACCTTGGACCAGTCACTCTCTCTCAGGCGAACTCCTCTCACAGGGGTGCTGTTTCAGGAACTAGGAGAAGAATGGAGCATTAGGGTAAGTTAGCCACCTTGAGTTATTTATCAAAATAGTAATGACAGAATATACATACATCAATAAACCAAGATACCTCAAATAAGTTAATTTATAAAATGCATCCCAAAACTGGGACCTATGATTCCTGTAAAATTGAAATTTGGCAAATTTTGGCAAATTTTATAAAACATTTAATTACATAAAAATTATCACAAAACAATTTATGACATAATACAAAATGTCATAAAACATTTCCTTTGCTGATGTTTGACTGTGGTATATAGTACAACATGGGCTATTTTGAAGGCAGAGATATCTTTGAATATCACCAACTTTTTCAGCGAAGGCAGTTCTGTCACTGTTGAAGGCACTGAAGAATTTGATAAGGAAACATCTCTAAAAGGAAGATGTAGTGGATCATCGGTTGTCTAGTACTTTTATATGAGGAACACCATCCCTGCCTACATTTTATTAACTCTAATTAGTTCGAATTTCAGTAAACAAATAAGAAAAAAGTGAAGCCATCAATTCAGAATGAATATTTTTTACAAGTGTCCAGTTTCAAGCAATCCATGGAATGGGATATAGTATATACAAAGTCAATTCTAAGGAAGAGAAAAAAGTAAGAAAAAAAATGTTGAATTGTTTGTACCTGAGAACATTCAGTCCCAGAGACCTGTTTTTGTCTCTGGGACAAATATAATAGATAAATATGGGGATGCCCTACAAAAGTGTAGGATTACTAGAGAATGTTGTCAGTGTGGAGGCTGCAATGTCTAATTAAACATTTGAAAGTTTTTTAATTTTAAACTTCTTATAGTGAAAATAATGCAAGAGACAAGCTATTAACTAACATGGTTTCCTGGAAAATTTAAATGCTTCTGATATAAATCCTTACGGATCTGCAAATGAATAGGTTGTGAGCTTTATAGAAAATGTAAGTTTACTACTCCTAGAGGGATTCAGCAATCCAAAGTATGGGTCAAATTCAGAACAGTGGAAGGGTCTAGTCTGGCTGTGAAGCAAGTTATGATCTTAGCTGGAGGAAGCTTTACCCTAAATGTTGTACTAGCAGTATCATTCATTCATTTATTCATTCAAATAATGGAACCACCCCACTAGTTTGCCAGTTCTCTGGCGTCCTCACAATCAGGTACAATCAGGTCTTGAGGACCTTTGTAAAGTTAGGAATAATGGTGCCAATTTAATCTCGGGGAGAGGCTATTCCCACAATGCGCCACACTTGAGAGAGCCTTCTGCCTAGGACCCACCAAACATAGCTCCCTAAATGATGGAACTACTACTTCTTGTGAACATATCTAATACTCTTGCCTCTTATTTTCCTCACAACAGAATTTCATTTTTAATGTTGGCCAGTATGCTCCCAATAAAAAAATGACAATACTATCTTATCTTATTTTATCAACAGTCCTGTGAGATGGGTTGGACTGAGAGACACAGAGATTAGCCCAAAGTCACCAAGCTAGCTTTCATATCTAAGAGAGGCCTAGAATTTACAATTTCCTGGTTTCTAGACCTGCATCTTCATCACTACACCACATTGATGATCATTCTACAGGTTACCTGTGTATTTACCTGCTACTGATGTTGAAATAATACTTCAGGCATTTGTTCTGAAAACAGCAGGGAGCTGTGAGGATCTCTCACATTATTCTAGGTCTAGAAATCAAGATCCCAAGACTCTGTTATGTGAGAGTAGTGAGGCCTTGAAGATTGATGGCAGCCCTTCTAGGTCACAAAAGAGGAGGTGCTGGGAGTGTTGGAATTACCTTAATACAGGTAGTCCTTGATTTATTACCATCATTGATTGAACCCACTTGTTCCCAGTGGTATTTGGAAAAGAAGATTCTGTTTAGATCCCTTCTTCTAGAAAATGTTATCACAAAGGACCTCAGAAAGGAACCTTCTCTGCTGCTACCCATCCCTCATGACTACAACATTCCAACCCTTCTGGAATTTAGGAAAAACATTAAGATATGTTTCAGTTAGCCATTGAGTATTTCTATAAAGTGGATATCCCCTCCCCCTTTACTGTATGACTATCTGTATTACTGCATATTTGTTCAGCACAACAGAATTAATAATTATTATGTAACATTACTATTATTTTAACCTTTATTATGGATGGAGAGTACAGCTCAGTCAGTGATAAATGAAATGATTTATAAGCCTGAATAAATAAATAACTAGCCAAACAAATAAACAAACAGTCCTTTATTGGGAAGGGAGTATTTTCATGGAAGAGAGAAATGAAGTAATTGAAAAGTAGGGGGAAGATTTCTCCTTTCTCCTCCTCTTTAACATGTGTCTAACAATTGTAATCAATTATTTAAAATGTACAGTAATTATATTAGGAAGAGAATGGAATGTGGATTGTCTGATGGGAAGAGGACAGGAATGGTCAGAACTCCCACATCTATATCTTGTCAAAAGTAACTGTCACATGTTCTTTGTTTCTGAACCCTGTGCTGGAGTGTAACAAAAGTTAAATAAACTGCTAAACCCTGTGCAATGCATAGTCAGAGCAAAGGCCCAATTTCCTCAGACTTTATACAATAATATGCTAAATCTGGCAACCTTGAAGATTAGTGAGCCAATTAAACAGACCAGTCTTTTCATCAAGACAAAATCAGTGGAAAGTCTAGCATTTTATCTTTGACCAGACCCAACTTTGAATAGGATTCTTAGTACATTATTATTTATGACCACCGGGTGGCACTACTTACTGAGCACTTCTGTAAAAAATCTCAGTATGTATTATGCCTTAAGGCTCTTGTCTCCAGACCAAGGGTGTCAAACTCGCAGCTCGCAGGCCAGATGCCTCATGTGCTGGCCCTGCCCCCAGCTGGTTTAGCGAAGGGGAAAAAAGTCTCGATATGTCATGTGACACTGCTGTGACGACACGAGTTTGACACCCCTGCTCCAGACAAACTGTAATAGAGATGTAGAGCGCATAGTTGTTTCTGACCAGAAGATACAACTAATTATCAAGTAGTACATTTGATTCCAAATAGATATTCCTCCATTTGTAACACTTTGTCTGAAGGAATCAGAAGCAGTTTCTGTTTCTCTTTGGTTCCCTACACTCAAAAACTATCCAATCAGCCCATGGCTCTACTATTGTAATGCAATGAACATGGGGTTTGCCTTTAAAAAACATTCAGAAGTATTAATCAGTCTACAATGCACAGGTGCAGGCAGTGATAGATTTGCCTTGATACACCCATGTCACCTAGTTACCAGTTTGCTTTGAAGTGCTAGTTATGACCTATAAAGCTGTACATGTTATAGGGCGCGATTATTTGAGGAACTGCCTATTGCCCATACTGATACTGGGTTTGATGCCCTCTGAGTTCCTTTAGTCAGGCAGTGTCATCTGTCAAGACCCAGGAAGTGTGCTTATTCTGTTGCAACACTCATCCTCTGGAATGTGGTTCACCTTGAGATCCAGGTGGTTTCTACCCTCAATGATGTTCTAGAGGACCTTAAAACTGAGACTGTTCTCACAGGCCCTGGGCTATGGTGGGTGGAATCCTTTGCTGGCTGTGTTTTCATATGTCTTGGGTTATTAGTTGGATTTGCCATCTGTTCTTTATTTGTCTTACTCTTTTTATGAGCCACCTAAGGTCAGTATGGAATCAGTCAATGCCAAAATCAAATATATAAGTAAAATAGTTTTTGCTAACACATTTGAATACACATGGAGAGACCAGCCATCTCTTTTTACTTTTGATTATTAGGAAAGTTGATTGAATAAATGAATTCTTTTTTCAGTTACAGAATCTTTCTGTTTGGACTCAGATGTTTCAAAGTGATCTCTTTACAATGTGAAAGAAAAGCAAGAAAATGTGCACAACTTACTCCTTAAAAGTAAAAAATGCTGCATGTATTTTATAGTTTTTTCTTAGCAATTGATAGATAAGATGGCACTCATATATTTTTAATGTAAATACATGTAGAAATAAAATTATTTGAACAAAAGATCAATCAATGTTACAATACATTGTTATTTTAACAGATATAATTTGAATAATTTTGAAAATATGACAGAGTGTAGTTAATTGGGGGGAAAAGCTATGGCCCATATTTGAGAACATTTACGTTTGGAACTTACTGTAGGAAAAGTAAGAGTCCATTGAAATTGGGGGGCACATACATTCAAATAAATAATTATAAACACTACCATCTGTGCTTGTTCAACATGAAAGGACAGAGCTATGGAAGAAAACCAAAATAATGAGCTTATATAAAATTAAAATGGTATAAATGATGAATATAATAACATAATAAAATATTTATATGGCTATGAAGAAAAATATTTTAAAATTCTAATATTTAAAAGGCAGGTATTGTAAGTCAATGGTTGGAGAAATTCTGTTTTCATTGGCATCTTCTATGCTATCTATATAAAGTGTCCTGCTAAGGAGGTTCAATGTAATAATTGCAAGAAAAGTGAACACTTTTACAAAATCTGCAATGCCAATTCTTCTAATGAGGAAATACATGGAGTCAACAGATACGACTTTACTCTTGTGGTAATAAAGATGTTTTCTTTATTTCTGAGTAGATCAGAAATTTTTACAGTATATT